GCGGATGACCCCGTTCAAATCCTCCTGGGCGATCTCCACTTTTGCGCGCCCCGACGCCATGCGAGCGGACCCGCGCCGAGGTGGGGGGGACCGTTGCCGCGGCCTCTCGATGGCAGACTGCAGCGGCGATGGGAAGGTTGGATGCGCTGCCGTCGTCGCTCCTAGGAGGCGCGGCCTCCACGTCCGCATGCTCGCCCCGCCCCATTCCCCTTCCCCCTCCCCCCGTGCAGGAGGCGCGGCCTCCTCGTTCTTCGCCTCCATGACAAGAAGTCAACTTCCGCCCCTGCGAGATCGACGCGATGCCCTGGAGGGGGCGACGCCCCCTGAACACGCCAAGACCGCTCGCACATGCAGCATAGGGCTCGCCGCAGGAGGCGCGGCCTCCTCCGCGCGTGAATAAAAGATCCCATTGCAGGAGAAATGCGCCTCCTCATGGGGCAACATCGCGCCGTCGTCGTCATTAAGATGTACTCGTCGCTACAGATTTAGCGATGATCGTCGCTAACGTTTAGCGTCGACGCTGAATTCAAGGCCGACTACTAAATAAGCAGATGCACTAAATAGGCATAGATGGATCTACATGGTGGGGGGGTTCTGGGGGTTCTCCGAGGGTTCCTCCAGGGTTTTCTGGGGTTCTCTGGGTTCTCCGGGTTCTCCGGGTTCTCCGGGTGTTTTCTGAGAGGTTTTCTGGGGGTTTTCCGGGGTGTCTGAGTTGTCCGGGTTCTCCGGGGGTTCTCGGGGGGTTCTCCGGGGGTTCTCCGGGGGTTCTCCGGGGTTCTCTCCGGGTTCTGCGGGAGTTCTCCGGGGTTCTCCGGGTTCTCCGGGTTCTCCGGGTTCTCCGGGTTTTCCGGGGTTTTCCCGGGGGTTCTCCGTACAACCTCCCCGTCCAGTGTTCACGAATGTCGGGACGCGAATGAGTTCCCGTCTCGAACCAAAGTTGCTACGGGAGACGAGGGGGAGGAGGAGGAGGAGGAGGAGGAGGAGGAGGAGGAAAAGGAGGAGGAGGAGGAGGAGGAGAACGAGAACGAGGAGGAGGAGGAGGAGGAGGGGAGGAGAGGAGGAGGAAGAGGAGGAGGAGGAGGAGGAGGATAACGAAAACGAGGTGGAGGAGGAGGAGGAGGGAGAAGAAGGAGGAGGAGGAGGAGGAGGAAAAAAACGAGGATGGGGACAAAGATTGGGAAAGGCAGCAGTTTGGCGCGCAGACAGGCCCCCTGGTAGCCCGGCTGGCGTTCCAGAAGCTCCCCGACCAGTCCCACCTGGCCCCAGCAGGCCCCCCGCGCACGGGCGGTCCCAGCACACCCTGGCGCCGCCTCCGGCGGCGCTCGCCGCGCCTCAGGCTGGAGGCGTTGAGAGAACGCTCCGGGCTGCTGGGGGGCTGTTGAGGCCAGCTGCGCCTCTTCCGAGGGCCTGTTGGGGCCAGCCAGGACTATGCCTGCCCAGACCCCCTCGCGTTGTGAAAAAAACGCGACGGGGGGGGGGGGGCCGCGGGCCTCGGAAGCGTCCAAAAACGACTCGGTAGGGAGAGCGGTCCGGGGAGGGGGTCCAGACCTTTTGGGGTCGACGTTGCAAAACAAATGACGACGTCGGGAGTCTGGGTGGGGGGGCTGGCTGTGCGCAGCCCGAAGCCTTACCAACCTCGCGCGCCTGTTGGCCCCCTGGCACGCCGGGGGCTGGCGCACTACGTGATGCTGGACGCGGACGCGGTGGCGGAGCCGCCTTGGGCGCAGGCGCTCCCGCGTTTCGAGCGGTTCCTCGGCGAGTGGGAGCTCTCGGAGGGGGGAGAACCTCGACGTCGTGTTTCTTCACAGCGCCGACCCCAGAGGTCTGGACCCCTTCCCTGGGACTGGTTTTCCATCCCGAGTCGTTTTTGGACGGCCCCTACATAGGCCCGGTAAGGGCCCCAGGAGGCCGAACATAGCGAGAAACCTCCCGCCGTGATATTTTATAACGCGATGGGGTGCGGGGTCGGAGGGGAGAGAAGCGACACCAACACCACCAGGGGGGCCACCTCAAGCGAGGAGGTTCACGATCCCCGAGCTGGAGGTTGTGGATGTCTCGAGCGAGAGGTGGGACCACACCACCAGGGAGGCCCCCCCCCTTTTCCCTCGCATCTCCTCGCACTGGTGGTGTTGGTGTCTCCTTTCCATGTGCCTATGTGGGGGCGAGGGGGTGTGGACGTTAGGAGGAGGACGAGGAGGAGGATGGGACGAGGAGGAGGAGGAGGAGGAGGAGGAGGAGGCGGAGGAGGAGGAGGAGGAGGAGGAGGAGGACAGGCGGAGGAGGAGGAGGAGGAGGAGGCGGAGGAGGAGGAGGCGGAGGAGGAGGAGGAGGTGGAGGAGGAGGAGGAGGAGGGGTGTGTGTGTGTGGGCACGCAGCAGGGTCGCGTCGCCTCGGCGCGGCGGCGGCGGCGCCTCAGGGTGGATTTTTTTGCCCGCTGTTCTCTCCTGGGCCTTCGGGGGGGGGGGTCTCGCTTTTCTCGAAGACGTTGGAGGCTTAGATGATATTCAACCCGCTGGGGTGGGGTAGGGGGGCGTTTTTCTGTGTAGCCTTCAGAACCGAGGTTTCTTCCTGGTTTGAGGTCGTCTATCCGGTGTTCTCTCTCTGGAGTTTCCTTCTCGCCGTTCTCTCGCCGAGAGCCGCGGCTCGGCGCGCGCTCTCGCGCAGCTGGTGGTCGGGACGGTGTCCTGGAGGGGCCTGGCGGTGGGCCCAGACCTCCTCGCGCTGTGGAACAATCGCGACGCGAGGTTTTTCGCTATTTTCGGTCTCTGGGGTCCCCTACTGGGCCTCGGGATCGTCCCGGGGAGGGGCGCCAGACCTCCGGGGGTCGACGTTGCGAAACAATCACTACGTCGGGGGTTTGGTGAGAAGGCTTTGCGCGAAAATCGCCCTCGGCAACTTTCGAGAAGTGGTGAGGCGTCCTGGCTTGCCTATGGGCCCACCAAAGATTATTTTGAGAACCCGTTGTGGTCTGCACGAAATGTGTTTCGAGCTTGCCTGGCCCAGATTTGTTGTATTAACACAGCGGGTTTATGTTACACTGTTTTGGTAGTCAGAGCACTTTTGGGCTCTCGGAGCGTTTTGTGGTAGGCCTTCAGAAGTTGCCAGGACGGTCGGTCCCTGCTCAAAACTTGACGCCACCCCCATCCAGGTGTTGCTTGGATTGGTCCTGGCCCAAGGTGACCCCAGGTTTAGGTCGGGCATGTCCTTCTACGGGCGGATTTTGGACGAAAAATGGAAAATAACCCCCAAAAAAGTACAAAACAATTCACAAATCGTCCCCGTACTAATTTTTGATTTGGGCTATTTTTCAATATTCCTCCCGTAGAGGACATGCCCGACTTAACCCCAGGCTTCCCCAGACCCCCGACGTCGTGATTTTTTACAGCGTCGACCCCTGGAGGTCTTGACCCCTTCCCCGGGACCGGTTTTTCGTCCTGAATCGTTTGTTGACGGTCCCGAGGCCCAGTATGGGCCCCCGAAAACCGAAAGCAGCGAACAACTTCCCGTCGTGATCTTTTCACAGCGCGGGAGGGTCTGGGTCTGCGCCATTCTAGAGCCCCCGGGGACCTCTGAGCCTCGTGGCGGGTGCTCTGGAGGCCATCCGGTTTCCCAGGTAATGCCAGGGGAGCACCCTGGGCCAGGGGGCACCTTGGGCAGCGCCCGATCCACGCGGCGGCGACGCTGGAGACTGGGGTTAAGTCGGGCCTGTTCCTCTACAGGAGGAATCTGCAAAAATGATCCAAAAATACTCTGGGGACGATTTTTGACTATGTTTGACCATGTTTGGATTATTTTTTGACTATTATTTATTTTTCGTGCAAAATCAGCCTGTAGGGGGACATGCCCGACCTAAGACTAGGGGAACGAAGACTGACGTACATATAACAACTCGGACCTCCGATTTTTATGTTTGTGTCATCCTTCGCTCCCCTAGAAACGCAGGGTGAGACACCCATCCGAAACAATGCGGCCGAAAGGACCCCTCCGTGAACCTGCGAGAGCGGACACCGTGCAGTGTTCGAACGTTTTTCGCGCGGTGCCAGAAGCCGGGATAGACGCACATAGCTTTTGCAATGTTTGATCAATTCGCTCCTATTGGATCTACCCTCTACTCTGTACCCCCCCTCTGCAGTTGATCTCCGCCCTCTGCTCTCCCCTCTCAACGCCCTGCTCTTGTGCTCGGCCTGACAGCTTTTTGTAGGCTTGCTGGCCCGTGGGGTGTCTGCGTTGCTGTGCCTGGAGCCCCTGAACCCATGCGCGGCACGGACGCGAGTTCGGTTTCCCTCCGCCTACACGCTAGTCGTTGAAAGTAGGTATTTCTGGATTCCCAGATCCCGATCTACTTCAAGCACCTTCCTACTTCAAGAATCGACATGCTTTTGCTGTGTTCTGTTATTCTCTGGGAGGACGTGAACCCAATCTACTATATCCGCCTTCCTACTTCATCTTTCTACCTACGTCTTCCGACCGACGTGTATGCTTATGTCGGGCCTCTCCCTCTACAGGAGGCAGATTCAAAAGGGGACGACTTTTGAGCATTTGTTTGACTATTTTCGGGTATTTGTGAGGCATTTCTCATTTCTCGTCAAAAACCCGCCTGTAGGGGGACATGCCCGACCTCAACCCATGCGGCGGGGGTCGCCTCGCTGCGCTGCGGATCGCTCCGGCAGGAGCCCGCGGTGGGGATGCCCGCCTGCGGCGACCTCAACTTCCAGGGCTGGGCGATGCACGGCTGGGACCCGTCGCGCGAGGAGGAGCCGCTCTCCATCTGGCACTTCGACCACCTCTTTGTCTGATGGGCCTGTTTCCCACCACCACCACTACAAGTTGGAGGGGGGAGGGGGTCCTCCCCCTCTTCTTCCTCCTCCTCCTCCTCATCCTCCTCCTCCTCCTCCTCCTCCTCCTCATCCTCCACCTCCTTCCCCCCCAACTTGTGGTGGTGGTGGTGGTGGTGGTGGAAAGCAAGCCCATCATCGTCGCCGTCCACCGCGACGCCGCCT